AAAAAAAAAAAAAAAAAAAAAGAATTGTATAAATGTACTTGAACACTAGATCAAAAAGATAATGTATGGACTGGTTTAATATCAATTGGGGGAGATACAGGATTAGTAAACACAAAGAGAAAGAAAATTATCAAAGTGGGTAGAGTCAGGGGCTGATCAGAGAGGAAGGAGAACAGAGAGGACCCCAGAACCGTGCTGAAGTAGATGTGGAAGAGGAAGCTCAGCAAATTGTCCTGAGGTCATTGATCTGTAGGCCTTTGAGTGAAATAAGCCATTGTTCTTGTAATGTACAACAGAGACAAGACAGTGAAATAGTGCATTGACTAATGAGGTAGAGAGAGGGTTCCCAGTCGTTTTCTTTGTCCCTTTTCTTTACTGTCAGTTGCTTCACTGAATTATTTGTTTTCTCAAAATTTCACAATCGTGTATTAATTATCATAGGATATCCCAAAGTTGATGTTACCTCTTTGTATTAATACATATACCTGGATTCCTGCTTCCATAACGTCCTTGCTAAACTCCTCCTCCTCAAAGATGTAATCTCTCCCTCTATGATGAAGTAATCTTTTTGTAGTTAAAGGAACTTTGGGAGTTGAGCTCTAAATTTGCTTTCAGATTTTTGTAAGTGACTAAGGTAAGAGGACGCTTGTCTCCTGGTCGTGTTTAAATTACTCATTCAGCAAACTTTATTGTGTACCTAGTACGGGTAAGAAAACTGAAGGTAATTTGCTGTTAAATAAACTAAATATAGTTTGTTTCAACTGTATTTATGAATTTGAAGCATGTTACCTTGTATTTCCTTGGAAAATCCCTGAGACCTTCTGATTTTGAAACAGGAAAGGTTCTCTTGTCTCCCTCACAGGGTGTACAATGAGGGTGTGGCTTGCCTCTCCAGTGCCCCGCAGCTCAAACCTCTAGGGGAGCATACAGACAGGCAGGATGTGAGGCTCCAACCCCATAGCAGTGTCTAGGGGTGAATGTTTACAGCTGAAGCCCCAGTGGGCGTGTGTTACAGCCTGCTCTTTTAGTGTGCCATCTATTGGTGGCTTGTGTTAACCAGCTCCATGAGACCCTCTATCCTGTCACAAGAACAGAGGGCTTTCTGTCTCGGGTTCTTGCCTTGGTAAACCAGAAGAATTATGTCACACGTGGGCTTGGAGAATTAGTATGAAATTTTGAATGGAAGTAGCTCTCAGCAGATGGAGGAGCCAGAAGGGAGATGGTTTTCCCTGTGGAGTTGGGCACTGGGCAGGCCTGGCTCTCCTCTGAATGTCCCAGCCAAACTCTGCCTTGTCCTGCTGGTCGATGGCCTGCAGAGTGCTGGCATCTGTCAGTGTGCTCTTCTGCTGGCATGTACCCTCAACATCTTCTCGCCATCCAGCTGCTTGTGTCTTCTGGTGATGTGCTCCTGTAGACGTCTGGCTGCCTGTGTGTCTGACCGCCAGTGTCTTGGGATTTTATAGGCCCAGGATAGGGGCATGGTGGGCCAGGATGGTCTTGGAAAATGCAACATTTGAGCTAAAAGCAGGACTTCCTGTCCTTACCTAGGTCTGTTGAAGTGGAGCCCTAGCCAGGGATCTGCCTTTCTCTACCCAGCACTTCCCTACCTCACTCTCGTATCAATATCACTATACAATATGTTGTCTCCTCATTGAAAACAGACAAATTAGCAAGCTCTAACTGTGCTTTGTTTACTACAGGAAACACATGCCAGGATCAATTGACTTGACAGGTAATCCCTTTGCCCTCAAGTAACCTCCTACCCCAGGAAGCCCATCCTTGCCCCGTAGAACAGTGGGCTAACAATGTAAACTACACTTCCCAGAAGCCTTTACCCACCACTTCCTGTTAGGTTCAGCCAATGGATACACTTACAGGAAATTAGTGGGTGGGTGGAGGAGGGGTGAAGTCACGGTATTAGTAACTCCCCTCTGTGTTCACAGGCTTTTCCAGCATGTGTTTTGTCTCTCCTGGAAGTCTGTTCTCACCAAGCAGATCAGCCCTCAAAGGCCCCGGCTCCTGGACCCTGGTATCCCTTATCTTTGCACCTCCTAACAGCTTCCTGCAGTCGTCAATGTCTAGATTGCTTCACTTTCCTTGTTTTCAGACCTTCCAGTACCTCCTTAACTTGCTTTTGTATTAGACACCGATGATAAACCATCTGGGCATGAGCTGTCTTCCAGGCAGACTCTGACTGACATAGTCAAATCTTCCTCATTCATCTTTGTGACCCATATCTGATGTTTCTTCTTGGTTTGCACTTTGACCATAAGCTGACTTGCTGCAAGCACTTTAGAAACTGTCTTTAATCCTGGAGGAGAGAGGCTTCAAATTGCCTTTATTCATCAGCCTCACTGATTTGAGGGTCTATTTGTCCAGGGTCCACGGAGGCATGCCAGAGAGAAACTGCTGAGAACAAGCAGGGGGTGTGCAGGCTGCATGATTCCTTGGATTCTGATGGTCTTTGATGGAAGGTAGTTTCTCTCTGATGAGATGTTATTTTGAATATTATAATCTTTTGGAAAAATAACGCTGTCATCATCTGCGTACGTTTGCCTTCTTCAGTAGCATTTCTGAGAGATCTACAGCATTTTTATCATACACTGTGCAGCTTCCAGGAAGAAAAACAAACATCTAAAGAGAAAACACACCCATGTTTGGTGGCAGCCTCCAGATATCAAGATCTGGGTCACTGAAAGAGGTAACTCCATATTGGTTATAGTGAATTACAAGTGGTTTTTAAATAGTCAGTTGACTGCTTTGTCTTCCGTCATACCTACATCCCATCAATTTTCAATGCTCCTCAAACAGTGATCTTTCCAAAGCCAAATCTGATCACATTTCCCAGCTTTAAAATCTCTATTGGATTTTCATAGCTTTGAACTATTTCAAAGACCAAATAGTTCAGCATGGCAGGATACTTCATACTTCATATATGCAATTCCTGCCTTTCTCTGTAGTCTCCTACCTGCTATTTCTGTCCTCCCCCATTATTCCCTCTGGCTTCCAAAAGTTTCCTAAGTCTGCCATATTTTTAAAATACCTGTCATTTTGTGTTTGGTGATCTATTTTCTCTCCTTTCTTTCTTTCTCTGACTCACCCCTAGTCTTTTCAGGCTCAGCTGACATGCCACCTGAAATCTACCCCTGCCTGCCTTCTGTCCCTATCCCTATCTGACAGAACACCAGCCCCAGGGCTTCCATAGCACCTGCTGCATACCCTACACTTTACACAGTGCGGGAAATCACCTGTTTCCCTGACCAGCTTCCCTGGCACACTAGCTGTTCTCCTGGGCAGGGACATCCTCTTGTGCTTTCTTATTTTTGTCAGCATGTAATATAATCAGCTCTTAATACATGCTCCCACCATCAGTGCATAAGCGTTCCAGACGCTCCACATTCTTATCAACTCTGAGTATTCTCAGTCTTTTTAAATGTTAGCCATATGAAAGCATGTGTGGTATTTTATTGCGGTTTTAATTTGCACCTCCCTAGTAACTAATGATGTTGAATTTATTTTGACATATTTATTAACCACATGTATATCTTCTTTTGTCAAGGGTTTGTTCAGGTTTTTGGTTCGTTTTAATTTAATTTTTTTACTTTTATTATTGATTCATAAGGGCCTAATGAACACAATTTTAATGGCTTGATAAGTACATATTGGTTTGACAGAACTAAGAGAACTTTTGTCACAGTGTCTTTCAGATTGCTTTTTATTTTTGTATAAGAAGAAAAATATGGTATTATTTTGAGTTATATGAATCACTGACTTTAAAATAATCCTATATTATATAAAAAGGAGAAATTCCAAATAATATCTGACTACAAAATATTGATTTGTTATTTAGCACACATTTACAATAAATACATGATGAAATTTGGATTATTCTTTAGGGAGGATCGAAATGTAACTGATAATCACAAAATAATGTACTTCTTCAGAAAAAAGAATTCACTCTAACTAAAAATATTTCTATCACATTTTGGCTAAATACACAGGGGGAAAACATGACACTAACCATTTTCTAGGGAAGGAATTTGTATCTAAATTATTTTTTATAGGAAATGGATATGTTTATCATAGATTCTGAACACACCATACAGATAACAGAATTGGTTCTTAATGTTTTGATCATTGCCAGAGCAAGCACATTTCCGGATTTATTTATTTTTTCCCAAAAGGTTGAGTAAGACATAACAAACACTTCCTGCCACAGGCTTGGCTTGGCGGTAGGTCGGATACCTGGGTTATATAAATCTTTATGCTGAGCGTTTATGACATTTCAACTTAGAAGTTCATTCAGTTTGATGATTGAGGCAGCAGGCAATTATGACATTAAACAGTTCACAGACCTTAACCCAAGCCCCAAATGGTTTAATTTTTTTAATGGCTGACTGCCTCTCCCGATGTGCACAGACCAATGCAGAGTTTAAAACCCTCACCCATCTTAATTGCCCCTGCTTTGTTGCAAGCACCACTGACTGCCTTCTAGTTCCAAATGTCTTTGGTTATTAAAAATTATCAATAGAAAGTAATAGAAAGTAATCCAGACTTACACTGGCGATACAATTGGCCACATATGCCCTAGTGGAGCATAAAATAAGAAAGATCGTTACTATTACTGCCAAAGTATCATATGGAAGAACATACTTTAAAAGTGAATCACATTATGCCTGTTGAGTCAATTATTTCTACTTGCAAAGACAGGGCTTATTCCTGAAGAGGACTTTTCTTTCATAGGTAAAGACATAGTCATAGATTCAAATGTATTCTTGATTGAAGAACACATCTGTAAGATGCTACTCACCAGAGTTGCCAGATTGGGAGAAAATACAAAATGGAATTTTATCTACTAATAACATATGTGCACCTACTAATATTTCCTTTGTTTCTGAACTCACTGCAATTAGTAGGTTGGCATCATATTAAATTTCTACAATGTTCACAATTTTTTAATATTGAATTGATTTTTCAATATTGAATCGATCTTTCAGTACCATGTTGTAAATGTAATCAGTGTTGGTTGTGAACTCTAGATAGCAGCAGTAGGCTTCTAGAAAGATGACTGAAGGCTTAGGGCAATGCTTTTATTGAAGCAGATGGAGTTAGTGAGTGTACAATATTTTAAGAAATGCCTTCTACAACCATTAAAAATCCCTGAAATGAGAGTTTGAAATGCCTATTGGTTACCTGTGATAGATCGAGTTCACATCGACTCTTTTATCTGGGTCTTGAAATATATTTTACTAGTCACAGTGCTAGAAAAGAACATTAAAGATATTTTAGTTAATTTATTCTTTCCTACCATCTGCAGCATAAAGCTATTTTCAAAAACGTATAGAATACTTTCACCATAGATGTAATTTCCTTAAAGAATCTTGACAGTATTTTGTCAATAAGTTAATATAAAAAGTGGGGTTGATATTTCTCAAAATCATATCCTGTTTCAATCCTCCTAAGACAAATTGTCTCACCCCCAACCCAGCTTACAGTGTTAATCACTACATTTGCAATCATATTTGAATCCTTCAGTTAAAAAAAAAAAATTAGTTCATGTTACTTGTCAACAGAGGTTGCTTTTGTCTTCTTGGAAAGTCATTTGGTTACCCAGTGTACTCTTCTTATTACTTGGAAAGCTCTTTTTCAGTCAGAACACTAGTGATTCTGAGAACTAGTCACGATGGTGACCAGAGGTGAGTGGGGATAACTGGTAGTTGTATTGGCCCAAATCCCCTTCTACAATACTAGAGCATAGGACCTTGAGCTTGTAGGCTTGATGGTTTCTTTGCCACAGAGATGAACATTCCATATAACTTTATCATTTAAAGCTAATTTACAATTGTTAGCAATTACTGGATTTTAATTTTAATTTTTACTTTTTTTTTGGAGACAGAGCTTCACTCTGTCACCCAGGCTGGAGTACAGTGGCACGGTCATAGCTCACTGCAGCTTTAACCTCCCTAGCTCAAGCAGCTCTCCCACCTCAGCCTCCTGAGCAGCTGGGACTGCAAGCAGGTGCCACCATGCCTGGCCAATTTTTAATTTTCTTTTTTTTGGCAGAGTCATGGTTTCACTGTGTTATCCAGCTGGTCTCAAACTCTTAGGTTCAAGTGATCCTCCGTCTCTCAGAATGCTGAGATTACAGGCGTGAGCCACCATACCTGGCCATTGATGGATTTTAGAATGATTCCTTTATTTTATATCAAAAATTTTGTATTTCTAGGGAAAAGGTTAAACTTTCTTCAGATGCTAGGAGGTTAGGAAATACTGATATTTACTCGGGGTGACTGGCCAAATATTAGCCAAAGTTATAGATTGTAGGGAAACTCAACCTTGTATGGTATTCACTAGGTGTGCTCTATCCTAGTTCCAACAAATGTAAGATGTTCTCGTCTTAGGAGAGATTTGCCAAAACATAAGTGTCTGGTCAATACCGGTAGTCAAGCATGAACCTTCAAATCTCACAAACATGTGTTACTTTCACTGCATTTCTTATATTTTATCCTCTATCGCATCTCTCATCTATATTCCCCCAAGAGCTTCTTCTTATCAGTCTTTTACCGCAGCTTCCTGCAGCTGTTATTCTTATTTTCCTTTCTGCCTCTCTGCCAAGATTCTGGGGGCCTTCGTGGTTATCACTGTGTACCCCTCAGCACACAGAAAAAAGTCCTCACACGAGGGAGTTAATAAAGTCTGAGTGAGAGAGTGCATGGATGAATGAGTGAGTGGAACGTCCAGAGATGATAAAACCAGCTCATTTTCCCCCAGGGACCCAAAAAAAAACTAATCTGAATATGTAGATAAATATGGCGAGGTTAAACTGGGAAACCAGGTGTCTCATGAAGGGGTGAGTCAAGGAAACCAACACAGTTATAGAAACAATTCACTATCATTCATTTATTATTTACTTATTTAGAAACGGGGTTTTGCCATGTTGCCCAGGCTGGTCTTGAACTCCTGAGCTCAAGTGATCCTCCTGCTTTGGCCTCCAAAAGTGCTGAGATTACAGCTGTGAGCCACCGCACCTGGGTTAACAATTCACTGTTAACTACCTGTGCTTCTAATTTACTCAAAATCTCTGCCTTGAAAATCGCATCTCATTAAAAAAATACATTCTTCCTTGATGTAAATGAAATCTGGCCCTGCCACTTTCTGCCTCCCCACTGCTACCCCCACCATATTTTGGGCCATTTCCTGTACCTACCAAAAGCTCTGTTTGCTGCCCAGTCCACAGTCATGAACTACATTGCTTCCTTCCTTTGGTTCTTCACCTTCCTTAGACATCCTTCTTTTTGCTCTTTACCTACTAAATAATATCATAATAGCATCTTCTAGTAAGGGCTTACTCTGTTTCAGGCACCATGCTAAGGGCTTCACTGAAGTACTACATTTAATTCTCATAACAACCTATGTCAAAGTATTTTGATCCTCATTTCAAAGTTGAGGAATCTAAAGTTTCAAGAGGTTCAAAGTCATGCATCTTATTCATCCTCCTCCAAGTGAATTCAAGTGACATTTCCTATGGGAAGCCACTTTGACTCACAGGACCAGGTAGGTATCTTCCTGGGGATCCAGGGCACAAATGTCACTGTCAGATTGTTATCTGTATGTGCCTTGGAACTCTGTATTTC